TCCCCTCTGGCCTTCTGAAGGCTATTATGGCCATAATTATCTTAAGAAATGGCCTGAGTACTCTTAGTTGTTTTCCTAATCTCCAAGAGACCATACTGTATATCCATAATAAAAGAAGTGATTCTTATGCCAATATGTATTGTCTGAATACAGAATGTCTACAATGGCAAGATGAGACTGTGGGGTATGACTACAGTATATTAGTGGCAGGGAGTGAGCTAGCGTGGGCTACTTTGAAATGGTCATTCTTGATTAGAGTGATCTAATCATGCCAAACAGTTCACATGGAAATCGATCCTGCCAATATCTGAAGTGGCTTAATTAGCAAGCCACTTCAGATTTTTGTAAATTAATCACTTCCTCTGCTCTTTGGCATCAATCATAAAAATAAATAAATAGAAGTAATATATTTGCCTTTTCTTACAGGGCCAGTCAAGAAACTGCCTGCAGCCAAACACATCAGCAACAGTCTATTATACAGTCAAAAACATTTTTCACTTCCCCTGCCCTTCTGCCAAGAAGCAGAGGAAGTGATTAATTTGCCAATATCCTGAAGTGGCTCACTTATCAAGCCACTTCATAATACTGGTAAATTCAAACCAAAAGGCATGCTTTGCATTGGTTCCAATGATCATACGTCCAGGAAATGATCCAAGCCAAATGAATCCTACCTGCAGCAAAAAAGTAGAAGCCCCTGACAGGGCCTCAGAAAGGTCAGGACTCACTCTGTGGGTGGGCTGGTCCACTCCAACACAGACATCATCTGATCGCCATCTTTAGGAGTGGACCAGCCCATTTCTGCAGTGAGCCAAACAGCACACTTAAAAGCCCATGCAGTCAGCTTCTGTGTCTGAATTACTGGGATTTATTATTATGTTTAACAGAAGTAATTTGGAGCTATAGTCCTGTCGTTATAACCTGTGCACTCCCCTTCAGTAAATTACTGACTCCACTTCAGCCCTGGTTAAGGAGGGAGTGTTCCCCCCGTGTTTCCTGTATGCTGTGATGTGTGGTAAAGTCTAATTGGCCTTGTGGGTGAAAGTGAGAACAAAGAGTCCCAGGTGTTTGTGGGGAGTGATGCCCTGGAAATGACAACTGTTAGTAAGTAGAATAACCACAGATTTCTTAGAAAACATCTTATGAAGGTCTTTGGGCTACACAATAGTCAACAGTCAAAAATCTGCCATTGCGCTTGTTTAATTTCAGCTAATCTTGAAGTTGCTAACCAGGACAAAAAATAAGGAGCCATGTCAGAAAATAAAAGCCAGCAGTAATACTATTTGTTGATAAAAGAGGCAATACATTTACAGAAAATTATTATTCCATGCCTTCCACAACAGGGAAAGCAGGAGACGAAGTGCAACTTTTCCACAACTTGTGGGCTAAAAGTTTAAGAAGAAGAAGGGAAAAGATCATGAGGGTGGCTTTGAATTGCCTTTCTCCATGCTGGGTGAGATGTGGAAGTATTCCCCCCCCTCCATTCTGCAAGAGATGAGGGACAACAGGTTTCATTTATGAAGGCCAAGCAGGGATGATCTGTTTGGGGGCCAGAGATGGGGAAAGTCCTGGCAGGATTATAACTGCTCAAGTCCAAAAGCCTATTAAAATTAAAACCAACTTGATTTTTTCAACTGATATAGAAACAAAAGAAGTGCTCCTCTCTGCTAGTCTTTAATCTGCTGGTTAATAGTCAGATTATAGAATGTTTTGGTGCCTGTTTACCCCGAACGCCATATCAGGCAGGCAAGCAAAATACAACAAATCCGAAGTGAAATCCCAAATACAGGATTTGCTTCTGCCCCACATATTTGGCAAATTATATAGAACAGCTCTTTCATCCTGGTGATAACTTTCTGCTCATTGTTTTTCTCTGGAGTCTAACTTGGAATACGCTTTTCTCCATATTTAGAAAGAGCAGATATGGGGACCTATAACAACATGTTATATAACAACATGTTATATAGCCGCCCAGAGTAGTAGAATATACCAGATGGGCAGGAGATATATATATATAAAGTGTGTATCTTCATCACTGACTAGGAATGCCAGAGAAAATGTTATATAACTACATGTTATATAGTTATATAGCCGCCCAGAGTGGTGTGTGTATATATATACAGTATATAGTGTGTGTCTTCATCACTGACTAGGAATGCCAGAGAACTTTTAGAACTCCTGGGAACTCAGAGCACAAGCCTCACAATATCTTTTGGGGCCCACAGAGGACTTGTATTTTCTTTCCCCACTCTCAGACCTGACCCATTACAGTGCCAATGGGTCAGGTTCGAGGTTGGATGTCAGCCCTCACCCTGAGGACTATTATCGTACAGTATTCTGTTTCACAGCTGAGCAACAGGGGGCCTCCAGATGTTGTTGGACTGCAACTTCCATCAAGCCTAGCCGGCATAACCAATGGGGAAAAATGCTGAGCACTGTAGTCTGGCAGTGTACAAAGCACCACAGTGGCCCACTCCTGGTACATACAGACAACACAGACTAATCAGGCTGTTTTGAAGGTTTGAAGACTTCTTAAACTTGCAAACTTTGGTATGCCCGCCTATGTTGTTATTTAGTCGTTAAGTCGTGTCTGACTCTTTGTGATCCCATGGACCAGAGCATGCCAGGCCCTCCTGTCTTCCACTGCCTCCTGGAGTTGGCTTAAATTCATCTTGGTCGCTTTGATGACGCTGTCCAACCATCTCATCTTCTGTCGTTCCCTTCTCCTCTTGCCTTCACACTTTCCCAACGTCAGGGTCTTTTCCAGGGAGTCTTCTCTTCTCATGAGATGGCCAAAGTATTGGAACCTCAGTTTCAGGATTTGTCTTTCCAGTGAGCACTCAGGGTTGAATACCTGCCTATACAGTATAAGTGTAAAAATATTACTTGTGTGTGTGTGTGTGTGTGTTTATACAATATAAGTGTAAAAATACTACTTTTGTCTGTGTGTGTGTTCTGTTTCACTTTTGAAATCTCCCAAGTTCATTAGTAGCCCAATAATAGAGGACTTTGCAGCAAAATGTGTACAGTAAGGAGTGTTTCTGTTCAAATTCCAGCCCCTACTCTAGTCAAATCCAACAAATCTTTATCCCTGCGTGTTTCTGGCCATAGCGCAATTGTGCCTCTTTCCTCAGAGAATTTCACAATGGTTCCAGGGATGTCATCCTTAATTTACAATCCTCTTGCATTTTTCCACAAACACATACTTCTTCAACCTATTTAATTACCAGAAAGAAAGAACAAAGTATGGGGTAGAAAAGAGGGAATACTTGCACAGTTCTGGGGCAACGAACATTCTATCTAGATCAATGGTTCCCAACCGAGGGTCCCCAGATTTTCTTGGTTCACAACTCCAAGAATTCCTGGCCATCCCAATGGTGAAGGCTTCTGGGAGCTGAGGTCCAATAACTCCAAGAATTCCTGGCCAACACAATGGAGCTGAAGTCCAAGAAACACCTGAGGATGCAGGGCTGGGAATCACTGTCTAGAAACACCATGAATGTATCTCTTCCCCTCTCCTCCTCGTCCAGCTGCTCAATTCCACCCCCTCCATACATATTTATTTTTTTGTTTTGTTTTTGCATTTCTATGCTATTCCCTTTCAAATTTGACTCCATGTATTTATGAAAATTTTCATTTTTTTTCAGTTTCCGTGAACAGATTTCAATGCAAATGAGTTATTATTAATGTGGTGGTCAGTCCCTCCCCGTATATTTTTTCTTAACTTGTTTTAAGCCACCAAATTTAGAATAGGTGGCTACTGCCATAATGGATGACAGTAATGTATGTGCTAGAACATCTGTCAACACTAGCCTCTGGCAATCCTGGACCAAACAAAAAAATTTCCCAAGATAAACTGTGTGTCCCAATATTTGCCAGGGGTGAGGAACCTATATGTGTTTGTTGTGTCATCTAGTTGGATTTGACTTATAGCAACCTTAATAGGCTTTCAAGGCTTGTGGGATATATAAGTAGTCTTTCTGCCAGTACCACCACCTGTCCCAGTGAGTTTCCATGGTTGCACAAAGATTCATATACAGGTCTTCTGTCCTAATCTGTCACTCTATCCACTACATTGGGTTCCCAAGTGTCACACACCCCCAGTTCCCCTGCGTTCTTCCACACAACCCAGGTTCACTTTCAGGTATGACATTTAACTTTCAACCCTTTTCCACTACCACCAGAGGATACATTCCCCACTCTATTAAATATGACTCTTCAATCAGTGTCATTCAATAAAACAATGTTTATTTAAGTGTTTATTAGTAAATCATGTAAAGTGAATCATGGGTGGTTTTATTTTATTCATTCAAGAACTTGTGCTTTGGTAACATTCATATTTGCTTAGGTAGAATCATTTTAATCAAGGTATTTATTCATTTCTTTTCTTATTCCCTATCTTTCTATTACTCTTCTGTAACACCAGGCTGGTCCTAACTGCCTAAACTGCTTCTCTCTAACTTATATTCCTAACTCATCCCTAACTGACTCCAAACTGAACTTTAACTGTCTTCCATTTCCCTGATATATATCCTTAGTTCCGCCTCTTCTGTACAACCATTGGCTCCTGAATCGGGGTTCCATTGTGATGGACAGGAGTGGTCACTGACCTGTCCATCACACTGAGAAAGCTACATCCCTCCATATATTGCTGGATTCCAACTAACAACCCTAACAAGCATATCCTGATTTTGGGGGGTAATGGAAGTTGTAGACTAACATCACCTGGATTCCCACCCATGGTTTAGCGCCCTAGTATCTCTTTATGGTCTAAAGAGAGCTCAAAGAAGTCAATTTTTTGCTAGTTGGAAGTTGTGTTTTTTCATACATCTGTCCCAAATACCAATAAAACCTTGGAAAATGCATCTAAAATCAATAGCTGTTACAGTGAGATGATTGCATCATATCCTCAGTTACACATATTTTCCAAAGAAACTTGAAAGAAACAATGTAGTGGGTTTGATGCAGTGCCTTCTATACAACAGCACACAAAGGTTAACTGATTTGGCAATGGTAGCCCTCCATTGGTCTGCAGCCCCAGGCACTATTTCTAATTCACTTTCCATGTAAGCAGGGAGCTAACAGGTACGGTTTTTTAAAAAATAGCACTTTGGGAGTTCACTTGTGAAATACAGAATTTATTATTACTTACGCAAATGGTACATCCTGCATATCTGCACCATGTCACGTATTTACTTTTTTTAAAAAAAATAGCACTTTTGGAGTTCACTTGTGAAATACAGAATACTTAGGCAAATGGTACCTACTGCATATCTGCACCATGTCACGTATTTACAAAACATGTAAAGAAAGATCTATCCTGTTTGTCTGAGGTTCATGTGGCATTTATTCTTAGTGTGCTTCTCTCAGTATCAAATATGCTATGTCCTTTCAGAATCAGCCACAACATCAGCCAGCAGGACAACCAACAGGTCTAAACTCAGCAAGCTTCAAATTATACTTACTGCTGGTAATCTAAAGATGGTTGAATGGAATCCACAAATCCAGGTAAGTTCTGGGGTGTGGGGAGTGAACGTAGTAGGAACAATAGTAGGAAAAAATACTTTGACATCAGCCCTTGGGATCACAAGTGCTTTCAGGACAGCCAGAGAAAAGTTATTCTCCTTCTCTTTATTTTTGGACTAGACAATGACCAAGCTGGGTAAGGGATGCCGGACATAACTGTCGAAAACGATAAATTTGCCCAGCTCTCAGAAAAATGCACAGCAAACTGCAGAACAGGAGTAGAGGACCTCCTCAAGCATTCAGGACAGGACTAACCAAATGCCTCAAGATATTCATTGAGATCACCCCAGACAACACAGATGTACTAAACATACTTTGAAAAAGACTTTTAACAGCAAATAACAGTACTGAGAGTGCTAGACTGAAACCACATTCCACCGACTTTTGCTAAAAGGGCAAAAGAATTTAAAAAAATCCACTTAAAACATTATTCTTGGTTTATTTTAAGAATAAATATGTTTCTTGTTTAGCCTTATCAGTATTTAGCAAGGATGGGCAGAAGATAGATTTGGACTTATTGATGGGTGATTTCCAATATATCTAAAATGTTTTCAGACACCAAATTATTTCACAATAGTAACAACACACACACACATGAACACACACACACAACCTTTAAGTTATATTTCTGAAATGAATGAACTGGATAATGATAGAAAAATTTCAGCTTCCTCAACAGTAACAAGGAGGACCATAAATTCCATTCAGATTACATATAATGCACAGTTTAAATGCAAGTCCTGCTACTATCCCAGAACAGTGGTAAGGAACTCTACATATGATCAGAACCAATTCCCACTTCATCATGTGTTCTAGGGCTGGTCCCTAGGGTTGAAAATCTAAATTATGTTCTAGTGTCTACAGCCTGATGATCTCCAACAAAATCTTCAGTATGAGTACTTTTTCATTTAAAGGGGAAGGGGTGAAATATTTGTTCTGGGGAAGCCCATGAAAGAGTGCTGTTTCCCAGAAGATAGGATGGTACCAACATCTTCATGCATTCCCAAATTGGAAGATAACCCACACATTATATGAGACCCATATGCTACTCCCCATTTTTTGGCATGACATCTACTGAGAAACTGTAACTGCTATTGTTCTTTGACATTGCAAAACTTATAATCTCCCAACTAGCATGGACTGGGGGATTTGGAAAGTTCAAGTCCAAAAAGCAACATTTCCAACCTCTGCATTTCTATCAGAGCAGCACAGTAATCTTACCACACCAGACATAAAAATCTAATTTTGGCTGCTAAGCAGAATTGAGCCTAGTTACTTGAATGGGACGGAAATATCAAGTATCTCCACAGGACACCAGACTGGCCCCATCTCTGCTATCCTCCCAGAAGAAGGGAAAAACCTTTCTCTTTAGGCAAGCGAGTAACAAGGTACCTGCGTGTGTGTGTTTTTTAAAAGATAGATTGTTATGCATTACTGCTCTGACTGGAGTTTTAATACTACGTGTGTTTTCCATTTTTGTGTTTTCCATTTCTCAGAGTGACATTTTAAAAAAACTTTTTGTATACTTATTGACTTTTGGCTCAATACTGCCTGTTAATTATTTAAGATTCCTCCTTATTCATTGTTCATAGTTTTAAATATCATCTTTTAATCATGTTAACCACTGTTGTATACTTGTTGTTTTCACCCTTTAATATTGTCTTTCATTGTTGTAAGCTGCTTTGGCTCCTTTTCAAGGAAAAAGGTGGGGTAAAAACAAACAAACAAACAAACGAATGAATGAACGAACAAACGAACGAATAACCAGTATAAGACAGTTGTTTAATAACACTCATTGCTCACATTGCAGCTGACAACTCCTTGGACGACTGAATTAGCTGTCAGCACAGAGTGGTATCCATGGGATTACGATGCATCCTCACCAGTTTTGCCTGAGCTATGCAAAAAGGAAGCCATCCGTGCCGTTGCACAAATCTACCTCCCAGTAACGACCATCCTGTTTTGTGTGCTGGGTGTCTTTGGCAATGGGATTCTGCTGCTGGTTCGTATTCGTTATCATACTGCTCAGTCCCTTGGAGACATCCTCCTCCTGCATCTGGCCATCTCTGACTTGCTGCTGCTCCTGACATTGCCCGTGGCTGTGGCAGGGATGGTGAGCAGCTGGCACTTAGGTACAGCCTTATGCCAGGTTCTACAGGGCTTCCATGCTCTTAACTCCTACAGTGGCTTCCTGTTCCTCATGGGCCTCACGCTGGATCGCTATGTAGCCATTGTGCGGGCACCCATCACCCACCGCTTCTTGCGTCCTGCTGCCAGCCACTGGGGGAGGCTAAGTTCATGGCTGATATGGCTGTTCTCTGTTGCCCTGGCACTGCCACACTTCCTGTATGCTAATGCCAAGGACTATGGAGACTTTGAACTCTGCAGGGTGGCGGTCATCACTACCACTGTTAGGCTGATCCAGGTAGCCTTGGGCTTTGTGCTTCCATTTACCGTCATGGTGGCCTGCTATGCCACCATTGCCCGCACTCTTCTCTCCTCCCCTTGTGCCCAGTCACGCAAAGCCTTGTGGTTGATCTTAGCCTTGGTATTTCTCTTCCTGGCTCTGCAGCTGCCTTATGCTCTTCTCACCTTACTGGACACAGCTGATTTGATAAGCCAGCGGGCATCAAGCTGCAAAGACATCTTCCACCGAGACCTTGCCCTTCTTATCACCAGTGGCTTTGCCTTTGCCCGCTGCTGCCTAAATCCCATGCTTCATGTCTTCCTGGGTGTGCGTTTCCGTAAGGATCTGCAAAGATTAAGCAAAGATTCTGGATGTCTGGGACATTGGAAGTGCTGTGGGGGAAAGCCAAGAAACAGCAGCAGGCAAATCTCACTCAGTACCCACCCAGAAGGAATATCAGGAATCCTATGAAAACGTGGGCATGATCCCTTCCCTAAGAAGAGTCTTGAGATGTTGATAAAGACACTGGTATACACAGTTAGGAGCATGCTCTGAAAGGGTTCATGCCCCCTCCATGTGCTCTCTTGATCTTTTGATAATAAAGCTTACATTTTGATGATATTAAGAACTATGCTTTTACATTTCAGTGTTTGCATTCTGTGAGGTTTGCATACGGTGAAATCACTTTTAAAGGAAATAGGTACTTCTATCATTACCCTTTGTACCCTTCAGGTACAAAATTCTTTCAAGCTCAGTCAGACTTGCAAATTAATCTTGTGTTTACTACTCAGTGACCAACCCTCAGGTATCAGATTTGGAGTTTCATGAAAAGACAGCCAATCCTCAGTTGCTTGACTTATCATGGCTGTATATTTACCATCAGGAAGAGAGAGAGATGCCTGCACGTTTTTTGGCTTTCATTGCCAAAATAACGTGATCAGCTTCTGATGTGGCTTCTGCTGCTCTGCCTCAAAGCACCAGCTGTGTGTATTCACACATTTAATAACATACAGTTCTTATTCTTCATATGAAATGGAGAGAATGCATCACTTTTGAAATATATTGCAGAGACAACCTTCTTCCAATACAAATATTTATATGTGATTTAGTTTTCAAGGTGGTGCTCAAGAACATATTAAAATCATAGGAAGAGAGAAACCCATGTTTTGAAGCAACATGACAAACATAGCAATAAAATCAATAAAAAGTAGCAGAATAAGAAGTAAAAGAACATGATTTAAAAAAAACAGAATGAATATTTTAAAAGTAGAATTAAAATGTTGCTTAAGCTTGGGTGACTCAACTTTCCTTTCCTTTAGCCTGCACTTTTGGGGAGAGAACTTACATGGTATTCTGCACTTTCTGATCCCTGTAAACAGTACAGGTAACAAGCCTTGATGCTGGGAAATTCTTCAGTCTGAGAGCCTGGGAAGTATTGCAAATCGGAGTAGACAAGTGATATGGATGAAATGTGAGACAGAGGAGGAGTGGGAGGGCCTGCTGGGAATGGACAGGATCAAGGCTACACTACCTCACATCAGTGGACTGGCACTGGAATAAGGTTAATATGGCATGGTGACAATGCTGATGTAGACATACTGTACTAACAAGTGATTGCAGATGCTGTTTCCCATCTCCCAGGGGGTTGATCTGACTGGTGTTCATGATGACTCATAAACATAGATTCAGAAGGTCTTCTCAAAGATAATCTAGTCCAACTCTAGGCTGATGCAGAAAATCTGCTGTAATATCTCTGATAGGGAGTAATCCATCTTTTCTAAAAAAAAAAAAGAAGAAGAAGACATGTCCTCCACATTCCAAGGTGTTTCTTCCACAGTCCATTTGATTGGAATGTTGAATCAAGTGATTAAGCAAGGAAAACATAAAACACTAATAGCCTTCTAGCCATGGGTCAGGAGTTGAAGCCAGGATGAGACAAAGACAGAGGCGATGTAGGTTAAAAGGGAAACAGAGCAGAGCCTGGTATCTAAAGTCATATGCATTATCATTTTGGCTCTTACTTTAGTCTTTGGGCTGTCTATGGATTAATTCAACTTTATGAAGGCTGGCAGGAACTCTGGTGAATATTCACTGTTTAATAGAAAGCTGCAATCAGAAGAAAATAACAAAACAAGAATCCAGAGGGAAAAGGCTGAGACAAAATATATATGCATGCTGGACACTCATCTCAATTGATTAAATATTAGCCATTATCAAATGTGCTAATTATGTTGTTATCTACTGTTATTTTTCTTCCCAATTAACCAGACCCACCTTTTCAGAACAAGGCTAAAAGTTAAAATCTGTCATTCTCTAGTTGTTTCTTTTAATCATTACTGCTGCTTACAGAACCAAGCTTCAAAAGACAGAACCAAACTTCAAAAGAACCATACTATTGTCCCTTTATTTTATGAACGTTGTATGAACGTTTTACCAAGTAGTCTAGTCTGACTCTTATGTCTGACAAAGTGGGCATGCTCCACAAAAGCTTACGTTAAAATGTAACAGTCTTCAAGATGCCACAATGTCTTTGTTTTACTTCAAAAGAACCATACTATTGTCCCTTTATTTTATGAACGTTGTATGAACGTTTTACCAAGTAGTCTAGTCTGACTCTTATGTCTGACAAAGTGGGCATGCTCCACAAAAGCTTACGTTAAAATGTAACAGTCTTCAAGATGCCACAATGTCTTTGTTTTAACCATACCATTGTCCCTTTATTTTATGAACATTGTTTGAACGTTTTACCATGTAGTCTAGTCTGACTCTTGTGTCTGACAAAGTGTGCATGATCCACAAAAGCTTACACTAAAATGTAACAATCTTCAAGATGCCACAATGTCTTTGTTTTACGTTTTTGCTTTTGTTTTGTGTGTCTCGTTGAAATGCCTGTACAGACTAACAAGGCTAAAGCCAGACTAACAAGGCTAAAGCTTCAAAAACTACATCTGTACAAGTAATTGTTCTAGGTTTGAATACAGAAAAATATATACCCTTTATCTGATACCCTAGAATCTACCTTTCCCTTCTTCTCATTTATCAATGTTATCTGCAGAAGACTCTTTTGTTTGTTCAGAAAAAAAACTCTCCTTAATTTTATGAAGCTATAAAGCAGTCTACAAATAAAAACATTACACTCATGTCACACAAGGCTACATAACATCATGTGGAAAAGAAAAGATTATAGTAGAAAGAGAAGCCTTTTCACTCAGCAACTGAGTAAAAATTAAATAGTAGACCGGGGCAAGAAAGAGGCAACCTTAAATGCTTAGTAGAGGCTTTACAGGGTAGATGTCCTTTAAGCTAAAGCCTAACCTAGTGGCACTAAGGAGTTTTTTAATGTGAAGGTGGAAGAATGGTATCTGCTGCTACCTGGGGAGTATGTGACTCACTAGTGCAAAAATTAGTGGGAAAGGAAACCTCTCCAGGGAAGAACATCACACTGTTTTTATGAAAGACAGCATCCATGAAGATTACATAGATTGTCCTGTTGATATGGCTGGCAGGATTTTCTGCAAATCAAAAAGAGCTCACATTACAGCAAAAGATGCAAGAAAATAATGTATTAAAGGTCCACTCAATGACCAACTAAAATTATCAGTTCCAAAGGTATACATAAATGTTAATGTTCTGGAATTGTTAGAACTGTTGTCGTTGCTTACTCTCAAAGAGGAACAGTTGAATGCCTTGCATCCAGACCAAGGTGAATCCTCACAGTGAAGGACTGTATTATCCCATTCGAACCTTCTCAGCTTTTAAGATCTATTGATTTGCATACCATCCTTGTGTGCTTGCTTGGTGAGGATGTGAGAGTCCTTCTCAGTGACTGCTCCAGACTTTAGAATGCACTGGCCTGAGAAGCTAGACTAGACAGTTGGTTGAGCATAGGAATTTATCTTGATTGATAAATGACATCAGAATGTTGCTGGCTTTTTCTATTCAGGCTAGACACTCTAGTGACAGCAGTAAGAGTCAGCAAACTTCTACTAGATAATGACCCATCAGCCAAGTTTTCAGCAAGCTGACATTTGATATCCCAACCTGAGCCCTGTGGCATAGTGGCAAATTGTGAAATACATAAACTCTTCATGATACCCTAAAAGTCACACAACTCAAGTCTCCGCCCACACCAGCAATAGAATAAAAAGTTTCCATTTATAGCCTTGCTTAGAGTTCAATGAATCATGAGGTCCATAATATGTTCTAGACTGGATGGACATTATTCTTCTAATTCTTGTACAATTCCAGTCAAACAATAAAGTCTGTAGTTAGGGAATGGATAAAGATCAATGCTTCTTTTACATAATGCCAATAACCAGCAGGGCTCTTTTTATCTAGTTTTTAGTTGATATGCCAGGAATGCCTGTTTCTGGAAAAGATGGATCTGGTAGTCCCTTTTCTCTCTTTGGAATTTATGCAACATATGATACATCAGAATGTCTTTCTTCTCATAAATGAGGAATATGGCCACTCCGTTTTTTCTTAATGGCTCCCCCAAGCCTTGGCTTACTTTACAGAAGACTACCAATGGTCTTGCCTTGTGGTAGCCAGGCCAAACTAGCCAGGTAGGCCACCTGTTAAAAGGGAGCAAACAGGCATGCACTTTTCTGCTTAAATGTGCTAGTAATGCGTTGTTGCACATAAGCCACCTGTTAAAAGTGAGCAAACAAGCATACTTAAATGTGCTAGTAATGCGTTGTTGCACATAAAGCAGTGACAAAGTCTCCTGTCTCAGCTTTGCTTTTTGCAACATGAGGAGTAGGTGTTTTCCTTTGCGGAAAAGAAGGGCAAACAAGTTTTTACTTTGTTGATGTTGTGCTTTGGACAGATTTCGAGAAGACAATATTCAACAGGAAAGATAACAATGCTAGTAAAAATGGAAGCTAGTAGGAAAAGAGGAGTCCCTAACATATGGAGTAGCTCAATAAACCCATCCAACAGCCTTTCTTTTACAGCCCCTGAGAAGGGCTAGTCTTCATAAGACATTTGTGTGCGTGTGTGGGGTGTTGTTATTTGACAGGATTGGTAGCTGCAAGTCAGAAACAATGATTCCATTTAACAAAAAACATTTTAGTCTGTAAATTTAGGATTAATTCTTAAACTATTCTTTGTCCTAAAAATTGGAAGATCATTGTTTGTTGTTGTTTAGTCCTTAAGTTGTGTCCGACTCTTTGTGACCCCCATGGACCAGAGCACGCCAGGTCCTCCCACTGCCTCCCAGAGTAGGGTCAAATTCATGCTGGTAGCTTCAAGGACACTGTCCAACCATCTCACCCTCAGTCACACTCTTCTCCTCCTGCCCTCACACTTTCCCAGCATCAGGGTCTTTTCCAAGAAGTCTTCTCTTCTCATGAGATGGCCAAAGTATTGAAGCCTCAGCGTCAGGATCTGTCCTTCCAGTGAGTACTCAGGGTTGATTTCTGTCATAATGGATAGGTTTAATCTCCTTGTAGTCCAGAAGACTCTCAAGAGTCTCCTCCAGCACCAAAATTCAAAAGCATCAATTATTCGGGGGTCAGCCTTCTTTATGGTCCAGTTCTCACTTCCATACAACACTACTGGAAAAACCATAGT